GTGGCGTAGGCAGCAGAGATGGCAAGGGCTAGTCTGTGAAACAAGATATGTAGCTTATTTGCGGGCTAACAACAGTCCCTAGAGCGACACGTCCAAGCTACACACTGATCAACGAGCCTGCGGGCGAAAGACTCATCACGTTTTGCGTCTAGTCGTCAACGCAGCCTAGTGGCAAGGATCCTGACTCTGTTGGCGGTGTGCTGCATTGGTCACTCGGGCGGAGGCATCCGCAGCTACTGCACGAGTCGCATTTTGTGAGACACTGAGGAAAAGGGGGGGGCGGGACACCGGTGCGGAGCCGACACGTTCTTTGTTTGCATGGACGACTGTTGAGCCCGGCTGAATCACGGTCCAATACACAGTAACGGTCTTGCAAATCACTTTATAGCGGGCTCCTGGGCCAGAGGCTCCGTAGTCTACTGGGCTGACGAAAAGATTCGTCGCTAGCGTCGGGCAGTGACCAGACGGACGGGCCAAGGAGAGGCGAGAAGCGACACTTTTAGCCTCCTGGGCCACGGATTATTTACAAGATGGACCAGCGGGTTGCCTGGAAATGGGTTGGACACCACTTGGCATGGCGTCAGCACCTCCCGGAGCTTGTTGGCCTCGACTTTGTAGCCGCAGGTGGAATTGCAGATACGATACCGCAGCCCTTTGTATCTCGCTAAGAGCCCAGCGGCTTACTATGGCGAAGGATCTGCAATGATTACACCTAGGATATCGGTGCCTTGACCCTGCGGCTCCATATGGGCCAACATCGAAAATCATCGACATGGATGATGGTGTTTCCTGAAGATCCACCACTCATCTCTCACCCCAGAAGCAGGAACCCACCGAGGGACCCGAGACAAATCTGTAGGTGCATCTGTAGGCGAGTATGCACCCCAAGGTACGCTTGCTTGGCTCACCAGGTAGCAAAAAATGCCGCGTCGAATAGCCATGCAGGAGAGGAGGGCGCAGTCCCGGTCCCTGTGCATCCAAAGACGTTTTCAATGCTTCTCCTTGGCTTCTTTAGAGAGCAAACAGTGCTATGTAAGCATGTACTGGGAGATGAGGGACAGACAAAAAGACTTATCATGTCCAGACTGTCTCCCCACATTTCACTACCAGGGTGTTTATCGCCAGCCGCCCTCTGACGGTGACGGACAAACGGGACATTTTCTGCCATCTGGAGGACGCTCTCTTTCTTGGCCTTGGTGTTGTAAACGAGATTGACACCAGACGATCGCACTTTAACTGCCCCCGAGCTACTATGTATGCGAGTGAATGAATGCCTCGGGCCGGGCCAGTTTTCTGCGTCGACCGACGATGACCGGCTTGAAGGCCCTACTGTACGACGACTGGAGAATTGTGTGTTTAGTTTCGCCGATCCACGTGTTTTTCCCCTCTCTTCTGGGTCCGGGTCTGTTTGCACCTGCATGAGCAGGGATCTGCCACTGAGGGAGGCGTAGACCAAATAGTGCCACGGCCAGCGACCTCACGGGGTGCGAGACTGGCGTGGGCGGTCAGGCCATTCCTGACTCGAGCACAATCGCGCAGGCTGCTGCGGACTGGCTTCGAGGCCCTCGGTCAGCACCGTTAGGACTGCGGAGGTGGCAGCCAGGTGAATGGCAATCGAATCCTTCGACGAACCATAGGCCGAGACACTGGCAGCACCTCACCGTTGATATTGACGCTAATCACCAGTTAGTCGTCCCTTCTTCCTCGACCACCTGTCTACATCCCTGAATGCCGATCTGGCAGTGAGGCCGGAGGCCTTGATGTGGGAATTACCCGCATCTCGTGGCTGAGTGGCGTCTGGACGTCTGCATCATCGTGAAGACTAGCATCTTAGCACCGCGGCAGAAACATTTTTACTTTGCGTTATTGATCTCAGCACAGATAGGAACAAGCCACGAGTTGTGAAAGGGGCCTCGAGGCGCGAACGAGGCAATCTCTGGCAGCCGATTGGCGCGGACCTGGCCCGACTGGGACGCTATCCTGGCTACGTATAAGCTATTTCTTGGTTTTCGTTAATAACAAGCCCGGCGCCCGCTCTGCTTCCATTATTATGGCAGGTGTCGTACTACTAGTTCTTATTGTCCTCCTCCTAGGGTGAGCGCGAGTCACGGGCACTCCCCGTTAAAGGGGATAAGCACATCATGTATTGGGAAATTCATGTTACACGGCTTCATCCGCGGTTTGGAGAGCCCAGTCATTTGGACCCCGCATTGAAGACCCAAATTACTTGTGATGCCAGTAATCTCAGAGGCGCGTTTCATTGTGAGCAGTCTTTATTTGCCACTTGATCCCAACCTGTCACACTTGATCTTATCCAGACCCCTTCCACAGGTTTTGTGTCTCAACTTGTTTCGTCACTAAGTCGAAAGGAATGGATTCTTATCAAAAATACCTGTAGATCCAAATAATGCTTTTCGTTCAAGGAAAATCTTGTCAGCCTGTGCTCGAGATCATCGTGGGTCAATATAGAGCGGAAGCGCATTTGCTTTCAATAGTTCTGCAGATCAGACACTTGGTTCGACACTGCTCCTTGTATCTTGTCTGGCACCTTGAAGCTCAAAAAGCACGTGTTTCGATCTAAATACTCCCTGGGGCTCTCTCTGATTTCGAGGGTTGACCGATCTTCTCAGCAAGATTTGGACGATGGACTTGGTTCATCCCCAGACCGGGCAAATGGGATGAGTACAGTATCTCAAGCCCGGTTGACTTCATAATTTACGAAGCTAGGTAGGCTGTGCATAATATTATATTTGGAAATCGCTCCTTCAAGCTTGTTTGTTGGCTATTCGTCCAAGATAGCAAACCCGCTGGGATGAGCAGTAGCCACTCTTTCCCGCGAGGAGCCAAGTCTTGATTAAGACCTCAAGTCATGATCCAGGAAACCATAATACAAAATGGCAAGCGTCTTCCTTCGAGCAGAGCAATGAGAAGGGTCTCCGACCTTGCCTGTTATCCTGATGTGCATCATCGTGATACGAGCATCTGCAGGCTCAACTGATGACTACCCTATACCGCACCTATTGACCTGATCGTTCATCTCTACTACTGCTTTACTCATCCATTTTGTGCTCCTTGTATCTTGAGGGTTGCCAATTAGTCTGGATTCAACTTGAGAATGAGGCAAGGAGAGATGTTGTCTTTACTTTACTTTCATAGTTAGCTCCCAGCTCGTTAAGGTAGTACTGACATCGATTGATAAATATGGATTTTCGACGAATCCATCACTAACATCAGGGATGGCTGACACCTAAACATAAATGAATCACTCTTATGCATGTGTTAAGGAATGGATATATCTAGCATATTTGTCACAATGTGACTCGGCCATGTCGATGAATGACTGAAATGGTCTCGTATCAGTGGACTGTTGCCTCAACCAACAATGGCTGGGCACCGCCTCAGCCGCACTTGATGACTCAATTGCATTCGCGGGATGAGATTGCTGACATCTCCTCAGTGGCCACATCAAGCTCGCAAGGCACGGGAAGATATATGAAGAAAAGCATCTTCTCTCTGCCTCGTCGTCATCTACATTGCAACCACCGCCGCCGAATCTCCCAACCACCATGACCGACAAGCAGACTCTCACCCCGCAGCAGTCGCGCACCGTCGGGGCTCTGCTGGGCCTCCACGCGGGCGACTCTCTGGGCGCGACTCTCGAGTTCCAGCCGCATGCCAAGATCGCCGAGAGGTATCCCCACGGGCTGCGCGACATCATCGGAGGCGGCCCCTTCTCGTGGCCCGCCGGCCATGCCACCGACGACACGGACATGACCCGTGCCGTCCTGCTCGCCTACCGTGACGCCGCCCTCAAACGCTCCTCTGCCGGCAAGCCCACCCCCGTCTCGGTCTCAGACATCGCCCGCCGCTCTGCCGAGTACTTCGTCGACTGGTACGAGGGCAGCTGGCCGGGCCGCAAGCACGGCGACCTCCCCAAGGACATCGGCGGCGCCACCGAGAGAGGCATCAGCAACTTCCGCAGCAACCCCGACGCCCCCTCAGGCGCTGGCCAGGGCTCTGCCGGCAACGGGTCTCTGATGCGATGCCTGCCTACTGCCCTCTTCCAGCCGGACCTGAGCCGCCTGCTGGCCGAGAGCCAGGCCATCAGCGCCGTCACCCACGACGACACCAACTGCGTCATCGCCTGCGCGGCCTACAACGCCTGCGCCGCGGCCCTCGTTGCCGGTGCCTCGCCGTCCTATGCCGTGCGGGCGGCCGAGGCTGCCGCGATCCAGCTCGAAGGACGTGGCAAGCATGGCAAGCCGGAGCCCGTCACGGCCGCCATCCGCGTTGGCAAGCGGTTTGATATCGCGAGGGCTGCTGCCCAAGGCCCCCCTCTGGACCTCCTCCCGGGGGGCGCCTCGGGCTACGTGCTGGAGACGTTGATCATTGCCATCGCTGCGGTTCTGGATCAGCGTAGTCTGGAGGATATCCTGGTGGATGTCGTCCGCATTGGCAAGGATACGGACACGAACGGTGCTGTGGCCGGCGGGCTATTGGGAGCGAGGGATGGGGAGAGCGCCATCCCCCGAAGATGGAAGCACCAGCTTCAGTTTGGGCTCGAGTTCAGGGACACTGCGCTGGATATATTGGAGGTTCTCAAAAACAGGGCATGAATTGGCCAAGAAGCTGGGTGTTGCGGTTTGGCTTCTCTGTTGATTATTCCTATCATATCCTAATGAGCTGAGCAGAGTTGTTATACATCTCAGGCAGATTTTCGTCTCCAATCATCGCAGGGCCAGACCGCAGTGTTCAAGCCGGGAGAAGAGGCACTTGACTGATTGCTCATTCTGCGTAGTGATAAAAATAGATCACCATCCAGTGGCGCGAATGAAAAGCTGAGCGTGACGCACGTTTTTGGCAGGGCCCGTCTCGAGAGAGGCTGTGTATCGTGAGGTATCCATATATCCGTGGTTCATCATGCAACCTCTGACGAGAATATTATATCGTGATTTGTTTCCTTCAACCCTCCTTCGCTCAAAACACTCGCTCAGCTCAAGATGCCACGCGCAGCTTACAAGTCGAAACCGTCGCTCGCAATCAAATTGGAGGGGAACCGGTTGGCGTACTATCCGGGAGATGTAATCATTGGATGTGTGTACAGAACCTCGTCACTGCCCTGCGCAGATCCCTACGTATACGTCTCCCTGCAAGGACGAACAAAAGTCAAGCACTGGATTGACTGCGGAGGGGATGGCTCCGTGCCCTTGCGAAGCAGTCTGATACTACTTGATAGCCAGCGGCATAGGCAAAAACTTTTCCATGTTACACAAAGCACCAAGGATGGGAGCCCGTTATATGAGTGGAATTTCGCCCTCACAATCCCCACGACTGTCGATGAAGAAGCACAGGGGAGGAAAACGTCCTTCATACCGTTCACTCAGGACGTGGCGGATGGCAATATTCTGCCTGCTAGCTTTACCGGGGTTACAGAGACTGGTGGCCATGAAGCATATGTTGAGTACTTTCTCCAAGCCGACTTACCGGTTCAAGGCAAGGCATTCGCAGCACACGAGGCCATCCTCCCGCTCAAGATCCTACCCAGTCTGGAGCAGCCGATGCTTATAGACCATCTGCTTCAAGAGCAGCACCGCCAGCTCCAAGTTAACTCGGAACGACTCATACCCGGGATGGAGAATCACCGCCCTTCATTCTCCGAAAGGCTGAAAAAGACCTTCGCCCCAAAGATAGATTCCAGGCTCTCCTTTCAGCTTGATATTCAGGTTCCCAGCGTTATCCAGTTACAATCAGAGGTCCCGATCCCCTTACTGGTATTAGCTGCGCCGCTATGGGACAAGACGGATGATATTATTCGCAACGTCTCGCAGAAGATCTTGATAGTTGGATTGAATGTTATACTGCACTCCACGACTCAGGTCAAATGTGAGCGTGACCAACTCGGCGAATGGGTGAATAGTATCCCCTTGGCTCATCGCCTTCCGCTCAATCCCCCGTTAGAAATCCAATGCAGTGGGGAGAGGAAGCAGCCCGTCGATGTTGGCACGGATGCAAACTTGCGGATCCCGAAGAAGAAGCCCTATGAGGTGGCTCGATTTGAAATCGAGCCTGATTACCTGGCGTGGAATTTTCGCCATTCGCACAGGGTTGAGTATGAATTGAGATGTATGGTTGGGGGCAAAGCAGTCACAGCTACTGGTGAGCAGACCCTTCGGATCCTGCCACCAAGCAACATGGAGAGATTATAAAGATTATCATATTTTACGCTTCGAGCTTTTTCGAGACAATCAAGCGAATCCTGACACACGTACCCTAGCATGCGATGTTTGCTACAAGACTATCAGCTACCGCTTCGGCGACTTACGACTATACAGTTTAGACTACCGGGACTCAAACCACTCTCCAATAGCAGCTGAAAGCAAAACGTTATTTCGTTTGTCATTTCAAATGTAGGGGATAGTTTTGGTATGCCAATACGCCTACCGGGAAAATGTTGCAATTCCAGCTACAAGTGAGAGGTTATGACTCGTCCATAGCTCTTGCGGCGTTACGGCTCATCGAATTATTCAGAAAACAGGGTACGGAGTGAAATCGACATACCTTTCAGAGAAATCAAGCTCTCGCATCACGCGCGCATCTAATACCCGGTATGTCTCTTACATCTCGCGGTCTCCTGGATATAAACATCTTAACTCCGGAATTCAACTGCGTCAGGTCACGGCAGGCGACTGCCATTTCAAAATACCCAGTTGTACATGCTGCACTATTCCTGAAAACACCTTTTGGGAGCTCTATCATGCAAAGTACCGGATTTAACAAGAAATCGGCTCTTGGTCTGCTACTCTCGCGCTGAGGATGATGCCGACAAACCGATATACCCAACCACTCGGCATCAAACCCTTGGTTGTTCAGGGAAAAGGAACAAATATAAAGCCCAAGAGGGTATGCTACCATATGTCACGACATCTTTGGGACGGCAGTCTGGTTTCTACATATAGTCACATCTTATTGTCTAACTTCTCTATCAGCAAACTACCAACATTGACCTCCAAGAAGTCGCTAAAACATGTCTTCTTCTCTGCCTGCCCTGCCCAAACTTACCACATCTAAGTGGTCGAGCTCAAACGACTCCCACTACTTCGACGTGGTAAACCCGGCAACGGGCCAAGTCCTCACCACAGTCGCTGGAGGTGACACAGACACCGCAGCTGCCGCCGTCGAAGCCTCCCAAAAGGCATTCAACAGCTGGCGCTGGCTGCCCCCAGCCCAGCGCGCCGGCCTACTCATCAAGTGCTCGGAAGCCTTGGAGAAGCACGGCGAGGAGCTTGCCCACCTCCTGTGCCTTGAGAACGGGAAGCCATACCAGGATGCTCTCCTGTTCGACGTCGGCTTCCTCGTCGGCGCCTTTCGCTACTTCGGCTCCCTGGCTGACAAGCTGCCCGACCAATTCTTCGACCGGGGCTCCATGTATGCCACGGTCATGCGGGAGCCGTACGGAGTCTGTGTGGGGATCCTGCCATTCAACTGGCCGCCCATCCATCTCGGGGGCAAGCTGGCGCCGTGCCTGGCGGCAGGAAACACGATGATCATCAAGCCGGGCGACCAGACCCCGCTCACGGTCCTGCGAGCCGTCGAGATCATGCAAACTGTGCTGCCGCCTGACGTCGTCATTGCGGTTCCTGCCCGTGGCCCCGCGGTGCCGCAGGCCTTGGTGGCCAACCCGGCTGTCCGCGCCGTCAGCTTCACGGGTTCGACGGCCGCTGGAGCCGCGGTGGCACGCACGGCGGCAGACACGATCAAGCCCACGACGATGGAGCTGGGAGGGAAGAATGCAATGATCGTGTTTGAGGATACGGACTTGGACCGTGCGGTTGCCACTGCCCTGGAGGGGAGTTTCTTCAACAAGGGCGAGGCGTGTACCGCTACGAGCCGCCTCCTCGTCCACGAAGCAGTCCATGACGCCTTTGTGGACAAGTTATCCGTGGGCGTCCGGAAGATAGTGACGGGCAATGGAATGGATCCCAAGACGCATGTGGGCACGTGTGTGAACAAGGCTTCCCAGGTGCGTGTGCTGGGGTATATTCAGAAGGGTAAGGAGGAGGGAGCGACAGTCGCTGCTCAAGGCGCGCTGCCGTCCAACCCAGAGCTGCAGAATGGCTCCTTCGTGGCCCCGACGCTCTTCACCAATGTCACGCCGCAGATGACCATCGCAAGGGAGGAGATATTCGGCCCAGTGAGCGCCGTGATCAAGTTTTCCACCGAGGACGAGGCCGTTTCCATCAGCAACGACTCCGTTTATGGTCTGACCGCCGTTGTCTTCTCGAAGGACCATGAGCGCTGTCTCCGCGTTGCAAGAAAGCTCGATGTCGGGATGATCTTCTTCAACCAGTATAATCGTGCCGTTCTGGGAACGCCTTTTGGCGGCGCCAACCACAGTGGTTATGGCCGTGAGCACTGCATCGACACGCTGCGGGAATGGACGCGTGCCAAGGCCATCCATCAGCCATCGGGATTGCATGCTGTTCCTCACTGGAGAGCTGTCAAGGACTGTCTACAGAATTAGCTACGCCAAATTTGGTCGTGTAGCATCTTTCTGTGTCTTCTATGAAGAGAGAAGCAGGGCGCGTAGCCCCGTTGAGCAATAATGATCTGATATATTCGAATAGGTTTATTCTAATCATATGCACAGCATCAGAAACTTACAGATTGTTTGTTTCCATTTTCTAATCCTTCCACGTGAGCCGGCTCTGGAGCAGCATTTTTATCAGACCAGCTGGCAATAATCCCCTTTTAATCGCGTAGAGACCTCCAAAACGCGCCTCCATCTCCTTCGCATATAGCTGAATGACCCATTTCTCGTAGTTATTCCAGCCTGTATAATTTCTAGCCGCTGCACTATACTCTAGGCGCAGGTTACGCTCGCTCACTATCGCAATCTCGGGCTCTGGGTACAACGAAAACAGCCACGAATATTCCATCCCTAGATGCAAGCTTGTCAGCTCCCGGTGCTGGATAAACTCTTCGAAACTCATGAACGGCTCGTCCCGGAGGTCGGCCCACTCTCCAGTCGGTTCCGGGAAGCCTTGAGCGGCGCGGCCACTCTGGTTCTTCTCAGGGTCGGCTCCCGAAACGTCTGAACCGACGGTCTGGCCGGAACTCTCGTTGCTAGTGCCTAGTTCCTCGAAAAGCTGCTTTCTCGAACGATATTCCTTCTCCTCGTCCTCGAAAAAGCTTTGCATGAATTTCTCGGAGCTCTTGGCCGCAGAGTTGACAAACAGGTTGAGATAAATAAAAGGGTTTTCTAGCCCCAACCCACCCAGCACTGTCGGATAGTAGAGGAAGCCATCGGGGATGTCCGACACCCCAAACCGATCCCGGATCATCTGCTTCAAGTGTTGCTCGACGCTCCCGTTGGAAGATCGGAATACTCGGGACTGGATGCGCCGAAGGGTTTCGAGCATTTCATGAAGCTGCTGGCGTGTAGTGCTCACGTCAATATCGGGGCAGTTTTTCAGGAAGAAGCGGCAGCCGTAGAGGTTCCAGGCCAGGACAAAATCGAAGATGCTGTTGCTCGCTTTGAGTCGGAGGTTGAGTTCCTCAACGTACACGTCCACCTTTTCTTGGTTAACCACGAACTCTCCAGAAGCAGCATCCAGTTTGATAAGACCCCAAACCACGTCGCCGCTGGGAAGATTGTGAATGGCGGCATCTTGCTCAGCGGATCCATCTGCTGGGATCTGGCATGATCCCGTTTTCTCCTCGTCAAACTCCAAGCCCATAACACGAGAAAATTCCGTGAGGGTGTCCCAGCCCTTGGAGCAAACTTCAGTGTCGCCCCAGAGCCAGAACTCATCCTGCAGACGCCAGAGCTGAGCACCATCGGTTTTCTGGTTCACGGCGAAATCCACACAAAAGAGAACGGCTTCACCAAAGAACGTCGCTAGGCGGGTGCCAATGGGAGTACCACGCTTCCGGGCGCGGGGGACTGAACCTGGCGCATCATCCTTGAAAGTGATTGAAGCCTCTAAGACCTTTCTGAACAGGTCAAGCCATTCCTCTTGAACACCGAAATATCTTAGGACGGTAAAGATCGAGCTGTGAGGAAGCGAGGGGCCGAACCACTTGAAATCAGATCGAATCACCGTTGTGTCCATCTTCACTTTCCTCCGTACGATTAGATGAGCCTGGATGCGATGGAGAAGTTCCTTAGCAATGTGAGTATTCCGGGGGCGATGCGCCTCCGCATAGCCATATTCGGGCATGTCTTCTTTGTCAACAACACCGGGTATCATATCAGTCGCGTTCGGAAGCTGATCGAGAAAGATCTCAAGTCTCCAAGTGTCGTCGTTATGGTCCTCGACGCTACCACCTGGAAGCGCAGAATCGTTGCCCAAGAAGAACTGGCGGCGTCGGAGAGCCTGTTTGCTGAGTTTCTGTGACGGAGACTTCAAAACACCATCGGCGGATGTGAACTCGGCAAGAGCTCGTTTCAGTTCAATCGCCCATTTCGCCCCGATGTACTGGAGGAAAATCATCTGCAGGAGGTCCTCGTCAGGATAGAAACGGCACTGGCCGTTGAGCTGCCGCCGCTGCTCAAAGACCGTCGGGCCGTCCAGCGTGAATGAATTGCGTGCGGCCATTCGCATATTCATGGCGTCCGCTATCTCAATGAGCACAATCTTATTCTCTAGGAAGCCACTAAGCGCTGACCGTTTAGAGTCCGAGATGATGTGGCTATCCAGGATATTTTGAATGCATCCGCTGATGACGTCCTTGTCGAAGTGCGATGTCCTGTCCCAGCTCGTTTGGAACTCCTTGATCTGGTTCCGGAGTCCCTCAAACGCACTCACCACCTCTTTGGAAGGATTATTGGCAAAAAGTTCGTCAAGATACGCCTTTATTGCGGTGGTGTCTGTTCCCTTGGCGTGGAATACATACTCTTCCCAGGTGGCGCGCTGCTGCTGCATATCCTCATGGCCGAGAGCAACGAACCCGCTCTCAGAGTCTGACCCATTTGCATTGTTGGAGGATGTCCACTCCTTCACCAACTCCCCGTAAAGCTCAGTGAACTCGTACTTTGCCGTCTGGGTATCGAGCTGGTTCCGGATGGTTTTTTCGTAATCGGCCAAGACCTGCTCTGAAATGGAGGGATCAAACCTTGCCTGCTCGACAAAAAACCCTAGATGATTGATGTTGAAGAGGGGATGGCTCCTTAAGCGTTTTATGCCAGGAAGCTGGTCGGATCCGGAGAGCAGCAACTCGACTCGCTTCCTGCTATCTGCCTCGTTCTGGACCGTTTCTAGCAACGACTGCTTGGCGCTCTCGTATGCTTGTTTTTGCTTCCTAAGCTCGGGTATCTTGATGCCAGTCACGACATGAAGGGTTTCGGTCAAGATATCCGAGGAAGGCATACTTGCGAAAGTTGAAGGTCGTGTTTGAAAGATGAAAGATCTTGGATAATCATACAATGCTCCGAATGGCTAGTGCATAGAGATAGAGATAAAGTTCCCTCTGCAATTTTCGACTTATCTCGCGATATATATATACTTGCAAGATTGAGCCATCTTCACGCGATTGACCCATGGCCGGGAGGACGCTTGTTCAACCAACCCACGGCGAGCCTCGTTGGGATTAGCCGGCGTAGGATTCTTATGCAGCGTCCTCTCAGCGGCCAAAAGGGCCAATATATTTGGGAGCAATGCTAAAAAAAAGTGACCCAACTAAATTGATGAATTCTCGGATAACCAATCTAGGACAATGATCCCGAGATACCTATCTCCAGGGTTAGAGTAATCAAAACAGAGCATCAGTAAGGCGGAGCCCCGAATTGAACTTTACTAGCTGTGAGTACTCGCCGACACTTGAATAGCGACGAGAATGGCATAAGAATAGCACGCAGCATAAGAAATCGACGGTCCTCTGTTTACGTTAGCTGTATCACTAGAGAGCATAAGGTTTGCAGAAGAATGATAGTCAGACACTCCCCAATGCCCACGCCCACATCACTTGAAAGATCCAAAGATACCATCGAAACGCAAACAGATCCAGTCTCTAGCAGTGACCTATGCTAACTCTCTAAGTGCATAATTAAGAACGTAGGTGTAGTAGCGACTTATATCTTAAGGTGAAGTATATAGTAATTACTTGTCTTAATACAAGATAGCTAGGTTAGGAATTCATATGTATAAGCACTTTTACAGTTTCTAATAAAGTTGTTTAATTTCAAGATTAGCTTTATTAAAAGTTTCACCCCTAAGCCTAAGATAAGATTGACTCCTGATATGAAACCCCTAATCCTATACACCGAAATGCACATATGGAGCCCAGCTCGCCTGGCCTAAACATTCGTGATCATCCTCACTGCTGTCGATCTCAAAGATATCTCTGGGAGGCTGAGCACGGCTATCATTATCAGAGCCAATGACAAAAGATGTAGAGTTACCTCGAACCAAGCTTGCATCTCCCCTGGGATTTCTGCCAGAAACCCATTTATCCCGGAGCCATCGGCTTGCTTTGTGTACTCCTCGGCAGACGGATTCATCAGTCATACCACTATCAAGAATTTCCTCGTACGTGATCCTCGCCATTTCTACGCATATCTCGTCCTCGACGCTTGTGAGAGTACCGATGACATGCCGGAATCCTGAAAGCTGGCAGGCACTCACAAGATGGATACTCTCATCGGCAAGGCTCTCATTATGAACCTGGCTAGTTCCACAAGCCGAAAGATAAGCCAGGAAAGGCGACCGCTCCCTCAAATTCAACTCTAGGAGGTCGGCTACGCGAAGCGGACTCTGTTTCCAGTCTTCCAGAAGCAGACGACTATTGGATGGGTCGTTTTGGTCTGTGAAGCCGTGGCCAGCAAAGTGAAATATCTGGCAATTTTTCAACTGGGCCATGGCTTCCTCCTTACGGCGCATTTTTAGGTTGATCACCTCGAGATTCATCATTTTGGAAATGACAGCTTCTTCTTTCGTAGCGAAAGGAAGTGACGACTGTCCTGGTGTGTGCTCCATGGCTATGAAAAGCGCCTTGCCCTGACCCGCGACTTGACGACGCTTCCGACCACGAACTATGGCACTGACAGAGGAGCTGTATGAAGACATGACCCTGTCAAGCACTGTATTACCGGACCGCTTGCTATGATACCCAGCGGCATGTATGGGGAATCTAGTCAAAGGACCGGTTGGGATCCACCACACATGAGGCAGAGGGTCGTTCTCGGACTGTGGTTTCGTAAAGCCAAGTGCTTCCAGAATCGGGCAGGCAGCGACGTCCCATAACCATTCAAAGACCTTTCGATTCGTCAGCGGCCCTCTTACAGTTCTAGACCTTTCCTCCATGTCGCTCTTGGAGAGATGAGGTAAATGTAAGGCGCTGATGCCGTTCGTCTCGACGATCAGAGCGTCACATCGAATCTCACTGATATTGATGATGATGATTGGCCCAGATGCTGTCGCCTCCAGAATTTGGGCTTCGCATGGGGGAAGAAGAAAGTCTTCAAATGCTGGAAGCTTGCGAATATTCGAAACGAGATCATCAAACTCATTTCCCGCATTGTAGCGTGGGTTCTCCCCAGCATCACTTGACGATAATTGCTCCATTGTGATGCTTAAATGTGAAACTGCGGGTGTTTCAAGCTGATTTGCGAGGCGTAAGAACTCATCTGCCATCGAGGGATCTCGCTGCCTCAAAGTCGTAATATCAGCCCGCAACTCTTCCAGTGATGTTGCAAGCATGCCACGACCCTGTTCGAGAAATTCCAGAGCAACTTGAGGTGTCCTGCCTGCCCGAAAGGCGGCTGCTACTGCATCAGAGGCTAAACTTCCTACCCGGCTGAGTAGATGCTGCCTGTCATCCGTTTCAAGGGACCTGATACACAGGCTGGGGACAAGATCAATAGCGAGTTTTGCGGCTTCGTAAGCTTGTTGCAGATCTGAACATATGGGAATCAAGCATTTGGCAGCGTGAATGCGCTCGACCGTTGGCGAGTTCGATTCATTCAGCGCGGCCCAGTGCAGCTGAGCGGATTCTTCTAGTTTGGCTTCATCGTTGGTTATTTTATACTCGCAGTGTTTTAGGTTGGCAAGGTTGTTTAAGCAAATTGTTCGCCCAGAGCTGCCTTCTCTTGTTGAAGAAACTGCCTGTGTTGCGGCTGTGATGGCTTGTTGAAGATGGTTGGTTGATTTAGTTTCAGAATACAGCCTAAAAAGCTGACCACCAAGGTCGTCCGAATCGAACGGCGTCTTCAATGTCATCGGCCGACCTTGTCGCGTCATACATATCCCAAAATCGTAGGGCAAGGTTTGACAATCTCAAGCTCCTTTCTGGAGAGGCTCCTGTCGTGAGATCTAGGGCCTGCCTGCCAATCTCAATTGCATCTTTGAGATCTGCCAGGACACCCTTCCTGCCATAAATTGTAGAGAGACAAACGCCTAGATAATGCAGCCTCTGTGACAGTTCTGGATCGTCGGGTGGACTCGCTGTGACGGCCTGCCGCGCGAAGAAGATTGCTTCTTCGAGTTTATCTATAGCCTCTGTCTGTTTGTAGACGTCACCAAACCGAGAGGCAAGCTTGCTCAAATACGTCGCCTTGACTTCATTATTTGATGAGGCTTTGATTTCTTCCTTGAGAAAACTGATCTCGAGAGCTATATCATCCTCGGACGCTGCGTTACAGATGCAGAATGTGAGTTTATTAATATACATGCTCGACAAGGCTAGGCACTTACTTTTGCACCCAGTGTCCATCTTGAGCTAATCATCTGCCAGTATCAGAGAGTGTTCTATCTATATGACATTTCACTACTTTACTTGGCCACCCTTTGTTTTCCGAAAATGTCGCAACTGGATGTCAGCTGACATCATGCAGCTCTGCTGCCTAAATTATGAAACATTGCTCCGCTTCTTATACTTATAAGAGGTTAATAATTATAATAAAATACTATCTTCTTAATATTTAATGAGATATTCATATTTCATAAATAGAACCAAATTATCTAAGCCTTTATATAAGCTAAATTAAATATAAAATAAATAATTAATAATTATAATTTTAAGAAGAAAGTAAAGATAAAAGGTAAGAGTTATTAAGTTCAAAAGAGATTATATAATTAACTTAACTTACATCCCTCCGATATATTTTAGCTTCTGGCTGTGACTGGGAAGGGGGTTTCTTAACTTGCTTCTCCTAGTATCATTGAGAACTAGGAAGTTCTAGTTTGTTACCCACCGCCTGCTTTGGGACAGGAACCTTTGGCAATGTCAATTGGGCCCTGATAGAGGACGGTGGGCATGAAGACGTCTAGCAATAGCCATGCAGCTTGGAACACCACGGTGTCTAAGAATAAGAAGCTGGTGAATCTGCAGTGGTACAACTAGAACCACGACAAGGTCCACGAAACACGCCCTAAGGTCGCAGCCACCTCCTCCAAGTATTATCATTTCAAAGAGAGCGGATTGGGCATCGATGGTAGGAGATTTCGCACATTGAAGTTAGAATTTCAATGAAAAGGGTACTGCCGATGTAAAACGTTGGGAGGTCTGGAATGGCGATATAGGATGGCATGGGCTTTTTCTGACGTAGAGACCTCGTGAAAACATGATTGGATGCTTGGTGGACACCTGACAAAGTTGCTTTACCTTCTGACGGGTCAACAGACCTTTTTTGGCTCACTGAAAGAGTGTGCCATCACTACTTGAGAGCTTGGGGCCGGGTAGTACTCGAGTCACACTAACATGACATCGTAGGCCCCACGAAAGCACTCCAATCCTTGCCAACGTTCGACTTTAAGCAGGTTGTAAAGCCGAGTAGCGGACCCTCAACGAATCAATGAAGCTGTTAGGAATAAGTCCTGTGTCGGAGCATCATATAGCCAATCAGTGAAAAAAGCCGCAACACCGGTTCTCTACAGCTCCTGCAGCTTCCGTCATGTTAGTGCAGTTTAGGATGACACCATCACATAGCCGGATGGCGCATGTGGGGCTCATCGCCATGTCTGGGCGACTCAGAGTCGTGAACAAGGATACGTGTAGGATAGATTCGGAATCGCGGATGAGGTGATGGTCTTGATGTATCCTCTAGGCTCCCTACTTGCTAGCCTAGATTATTACCTCAATTCAGGGCTGGGGAAATACATAAGAAGAGAGCTGACCCCCTTTCTGCAATACGAACTGATCTGACCTTGCTTCCAAGAGTTGCCCCAGACCCGAGATCTTGAAGACAGTGACAGTGACAGAAAATGAGAATCGGTAGAACGGTCACGGTAGTGGCCGCGCTGGCCTCAAATGTAGCCGCCATTGGGGGCTTCGACTTCAATGTCCAGATTCCCCTCCTCGGCAAGATTTTGAAGGAACACCAGGAGCAGCACCAGCCCAATAGCAGGAGCAGCAGGCCTAACATCATCTTCGTTCTTACTGACGATCAAGATGTACACATGAACTCGTTGGATCACATTCCTCTGATAAAAGAACGCCTTATTGATCAGGGAACGCTCTACAAGCGCCATTACTGTACTACCGCCGTCTGTTGCCCTTCACGTGCTTCTTTGTGGACGGGCAAGCTTGCACACAATACCAATGTCACAGATCTCTTCCCTCCTTATGGTACGATCTATTCTTTCAACTCTGGCCAACTCAAGACTGATTTTGGCATTAGGTGGATTCCCTATTTTTGTGAAGAATGGTCACAATGAAAATTATCTTCCCGTGTGGCTACAAGACGCCGGCTACAAGACTTTCTATGCAGGAAAGATGTTCAATGCCCATACGATATGGAATTATGATAGCCCCCATCTTAAGGGGTGGACAGAATCTGTAGGCTTCATATGGAAGGATTACTTCGCAGTGACTCCCAGATTAACAGTATTCCTAGGACTTTTTGCTTGATCCATCTACCTACGACTACTGGAATGCTACATTCCAGCGCAACAAGGAGGCGCCCGTGAACCACGCGGGAGAGTACTCCACAGATGTTCTTGCATCTAAGGCATATGACTTCCTCGATGCTGCTGCCGAAGCAGAGGAGCCCTTTTTCCTGGCCGTTGCGCCCATTGCTCCCCACAGTCACATCAACAGTTCCAAGCTCGTTGGTGACATCGATGACCTGGCTCCTGGTGTCAAACTTGCCGATTACCCTCAGGCTGCAGCCCGTCACAGCCATCTCTTCAAAGACGCCAAGGTCCCTCGAACAGAGAGCTTTAACCCCGACAAGCCTTCAGGGGCTGATTGGATCCGCCGACAGCCCAAGCTCTCCGAAGCGAACATTGAGTACAACGATGGCCACTACCGCGGCCGGCTTCAGGCTCTCCAGGCTGTTGACGAACTTGTCGATGGTATTTTTGAGCGACTGGAGAAGTACGACATTCTTGACAACACGTACATTTTCTACACCACCGATAACGGGTACCACATCAGCCACCACCGGTTGCAGCCAGGAAAAGAGTGCGGCTACGAGGAAGACATCAACATTCCCTTGATTGTACGTGGGCCTGGAGTACCGAAGGGGGCTGTAACTGAAGCAGTAACCGCCCATGTTGATCTTGTCCCTACTATCTTGACATTGGCCGGTGCACCTCTCAAGGCAGACCTGGATGGATCGCCAATTCCTCTATTCGCTGAGGAGTTTGGTTCTGAAGCTGCGCTTCGTCGTGAGCATGTCAACGTAGAATACTGGGGATGGGCTGCTGGCGAGGGTCTCTTCGGCTTTAACGGAGTCAATGATACAAAGATCCAGAACAATACCTACAAGGCACTGCGTGTCGTTGGCGGCGAAGAAGGAAACCGATATAACCTGTATTACTCTGTCTGGTGCACCAACGAGCACGAGCTATACGACATGACGGTATGTGCAAAACAAGATCGCAAAGTCTATCTTGGTAACTAACTTGGTGAAAAATTAGAACGACCCTGGCCAGTTGACTAACCTGTTGCACCCCGATGAGGCTGAGGCGGCAGCCGGTGCTACTATCCTGGGCTTCCCTCTGAGCAAGGTTGTTCCACGACTAGACGCTCTTCTCCTAGTACTCAAGTCCTGCAAGGGCTCTACGTGCTCCCTCCCGTGGAAGTCTCTGCACCCGGAGGGCGACGTCACAAGCCTGCGCGAGGCGCTCTCGCCTATTTTTGACCAATTTTACGAGACACAGACGAGGATTGAGTGGTCATGGTGCAACCTGGGGCATGTGGTGGCAGCGGAAGGTCCTCAGTTCGAGACAGACGGGCATGTTTACTGGAAGGGCACGGGATGGAGCGAGTGGACATAAGTGTGTGCGGCTGCCGCGTATCTGCCCTTGTTGAGGTCCTGTAAATCTCATGATAGGAATATAGACAACCCTCTTCAAGCTCAGGAGAATTCTGAACCGCAACAAGACCAACATTTTTACTAATCGAGGACATCGAGGACACCCATCACCTTTTGAAGAGTTTTTCGTACACTTTATGAGCAAGATCTGATTTCTCGAGCGGGGTCAATAATATGCAGCTAGAAATGACTAAGAATTCATCTGCCCCGTGTTGGCCAATAGTAATTTTGGAGTATAGGGATTGTCTTGAACCAATTTTCAACATTACATGGCAAAGTAGGAAAGCCACTTGGTCCCCCTAGCGCTAGCTATTAAAGAGATTTAGAGTAAAGGAAGATTCTGTGTATCATTTTTACTCTGCTCCTATTATAGGATTCTCCATGGATTTAATTTTTCTCTCTCCCCGCCCGAAAATTGCCTTCCCCGGTCTGGTCCTACTGAATCCGTGTAACACGAGTCTGCTCCGATCGGTCCGAGCTCGCAGCCGCAGTCGACAGTCACAACGTAGTACTCGTTTTCAAAACGAAATGGCCGCAATAAATTAAAATAAATCTTTAGATCTTATTAGGTCAAGTTTTAGGTGAATCTTCTCATAAAAAAAATGGTGTTAAGGTTAATTTTACTGCTGATGTCAGACTATGTGACAAGGCAAGGCTTCCCTGGATGCTGAAGCTTGGTATGCATGGGTGATACCAACTTCGAAGTTGAGGACACAGTTGAATAAGGATAAAGGCACAGAGAGACTGGTTGGCATCAATCGCTCTTCGTATACAATCTACTCACTAATCTTCGGGAATTACGAGAGTGCCGATGAACAAGGGCGTAAATGGTTCTATTGTTTCGGCCGGGCTCTGCTGCGCCATTGCGTCAAATGGGTGTCATACATGCATTTTCATGTACTGTCCCACTCTGCTCCTGCAGAATTGGGAATATTTCGCCCAATTGCCTCATGCCACCTCTTTCCTCCGAGGTTCCTGCACTGCGTAAGTCCGATTCGGCGTTTGCATAAAGGGCGCATCCGATCGGCACTGGAGATAAAAAGTGCCGACGTCGCGAGCTTCCTGTTTAGAATTTATAAGTCAGCTACATAGACTCTTTGAACCTCAGTCCTCTGGGCAGATCAAGTTTATCTGGATCCTAAGTTATCAACAAAGAGCCTTGAGCAGACATTGCGCATATTGAAATGGCTCAAGACACCAGCACGGATATTCCCTTGAAAGTCCTCATCGCTGGAGGAGGTAACCGCGTTCATCCCACTTCTTTACACAAGTTACACCGTTCAATGCTCATATCATCTAGGAATCAGTGGCCTCACAGCAGCATTGGGGCTACGCCAACAAGGTCACGATGTGACAGTACGTAGGCCGTGCCATACCCCAAGTCGGAAATGGAACTAACAAGGATAGGTTTTTGAGAGAACAGATCTTGCAAAAGAATTTGGAGCCGCCATTCATATTGGCCCCAATGGCCACGGTATTCTAAAAAACCTTGGCGTTTTCCCCGAAGAGCTTGGGGCCAATCAATTTGAGAAAGTAAGTCGCATCTCCAGGAGCAAACGACGAGATCAAGCAGGTTTTAATCAGGATAGCTCGCCGAATACGACGCCCAAGGCGAACTGAAAAACCTAGTGGACTTATTATCCCTGGACGTATGGCCGAATGTAAGACCAAGTGTGCTCCTAATTGAGGAAATTTTAAATGCTGACGCTCGCTCGCTTGGTCGTTCTAGAAATGGGTCGGCTGTCATCGGGTTGCGTTACACGAAAAGATCAAGGAGAAGGCCATCGCTCTTGATGGACCTGGCATCCCCGTGACGGTGAAAACGGGCAGCCTTGTCGTGGATGTCGACCCCGAATCTGCTACCGTGGTTCTCGACGATGGCTCCAAATATACAGGAGACATTGTGCTTGGTGCGGATGGAGTCAGCGTAAGTGAAAACTGGTTAATCATGGCATTTCATTCCCCGATGCTGATATTCTTGCATCTTTAGTCCAACACACGCAAAATCGTAGTCGGACCCGATATCAAGCCTCGTGGCTCAGGCAAAAGCCTGTTTCGATTTATGATTCCTCGGGAGGCCATTCAAAAAAACCCTCGAATTGCTCACTTTGCCCAGTATAATGGATGCATGTCATCATGGCACGGAGAAGTCTGCCGCCTCGTCATGTACCCTTGTGTTAACAATACTCTGATGAACATTGGTGCCATCCACCCAAGTTACTTGTCCCCAGCTAAAGGCGAAGGTAAATAGAGATCACTTATTACACAACTCCAAATCTGTCTTTGTAAGGGGCCAGCTAACAAGGTTAAATTTAGGTTGGGACCAGGAAGCGAGCAAAGAGAAGCTTCTCGAAGTTTTCGGCGCCTTTGGACCCCAGGTGAAGGAAATGCTTGATCTGGTCGATAGCAGCACGCTGAAAGTATGGTCTCTGCTAGATATGGAGCGAATTCCTCGCTGGTACAGAGGGAGACTGGCTCTTTTGGGCGACGCTGCGCACCCGTTCATGCCCTGTAGGTCGACTGCACTTAGTTGTGGGGTTTCTTCCTCTTCAAATTTGTTACTAATTCTCCGTTGTTTATAGATCAAGGGCAAGGTGGTAGGTTATGGCGTTGAACTTTGAAATCGAACAGTTGCTAATATACCCTAGCTTGTGTCGCTATGGAAGATGCAGCCTCTATAGCCGCTCTCCTCCCTCGTGGGACCTCCAAGGATGATATTCCAGAACGACTGGCTTTATACCAGAGCATCCGCGATGAGAGAGCCCACAGGATCCAGGCATCCACAAGAAATTCTGGCCGAGACCTCAGTGAAGAAGAGAAGCGGCAGTTTGATTGTTGGTCTCCCTCGTCCCGTTGTTTCTTCTACGTACTAACTCCCCTGCAGGGACGAACTCCTTTCAATACAACTTTAATCACGATGAGTGGCAGAATTCTACAAAGGTCCTCCAAGAACATCTCCAACACCGGAACGGCCCCAAAATTTAGGAGCACAGTTCACCACGTTTGGAATTGAAACCGCCATCCAAGCAAGGTATTGCAGTTAAAAGCTTCACACAAAATACCGCATCATGTAGCTATAAGTCTTCCTAATAAAGACTGGCAATTCTGAAAGTTATAAATTTCTGAGCCTCAATATGGTTGAAGTGAACTCAAAATATAGTAACCTCAAATCTCCGTGCCTATCCATGACACGGTTCGATCTGACATGATAACCGAGACGCTGAAGTTGTATCGTCCAATCGGGATGGCCGGTAGTGACGTTGCAGCAGAGAGCCAAACACCAACTTTCCATTCCGAGGTGCTGACTTCTCCATACAGCAATATAGACATCGGCCCATACAATACGTCATTTTCATGCTTCGTATCCCTAAGATTGACTCAACTTTGCATGCGACATCTTTGATCCCTCCAGCTGCAGCTTTTAGCCTATAGGTGGGTTCATTTCCTCTTACAAAGTGTATGCACCAGGAACGGCCAGGGATAAAACCAGTGACAGAGTTCCACAGAATCTGTCCGAGGAGTGTGTCCGCTTTTCTCACCGGATACCACGTCTCGAGCGGGGGAAATGTAACTTCAAAACTCTACAGTATCTTCACCGCTTCTAAGATGCCGAAAGTCAACCGAGAAACGAAGATATCTGTGTGATTCCCCAGAATACTGTAGGGCTATAAATATTTGTTAGTATCTTTGAACAGCCCAGAGATGTCATTTACGGAGAGCGAATCAACGCTCATCACAAAGCGCATCTCATCGATTTCATTCTTACAATGACAAGAGTATTGCACAGGCGCTCTATTCATATGCTTTTTGCATATATCCTTGCCGCCAGTTTTGCGGTTGTTTCGGCTTTTCCTTCCAAGTACACAAGAAGAGGAGGATCCTGTGATGAGGCCGACTCTCGGACTCCTGACAATTCATGGGACTCTCACCTGCACGTTTTGAACCCAATCGACTACCCAATAGAAGAAGGATCAGAATATACCCCCGGAGTGTATACCGTATGGGATAATGCCTTATTCGAAAATCGCTTGGGCCCTGAGCATGTGGTTCTGATTCAGCCGTCCATCTACGGTACTAACAATACGCTTCTTCTTGAATCTCTCCGAGCCTACGGACCAGACAGAGCGCGTGGAGTTGTTGTATTTAATATTGAAGATATCTCAATGGCCGAACTCAACCAGTGGCATGCATGGGGAGTCCGTGGCGTACGAATCAACTTTCTGTCCACCGGTGAAACTCCACCTGCCGATGAGCTGAAGCGAACCTTGAGTGAATACGCCAACAAGGTCAAGTCGCTCGGTTGGGTTGTGCAGCTATATATTGCGATGGATGCTATTCAGTCGATTGAAGATTTCCTTCCTTCTCTGGGAGTGCAGATCGTGTTCGATCATATTGGCGTCCCCGACATTCCAGAACAGAATTCGACCAAGCCTTACAACCCGTCTGATATCGCCGGGTTCGACTCCATGGTTCGGCTGCTGCAACAAAACGTCGCTTGGGTCAAGATCTCGGGGCCATATCGGGTTCCGAATGTTCAAGGGCCAATTTATCATGAACTAGACCCTCTCATCCTTGAGCTATTCCGAGCCGCTCCCTCAAGACTTGTTTACGCCTCGGACTGGCCTCACACAAGATTTGAGGGCCTTGATATTAAACCATGGACAAGCCGTCTGCTTGACCTTACAGAGGGTCAAGAAAAAGTCAGAGAGAGGCTCTTTAGAGATAATGCTATGTTTTTGTGGCAGGCGGACGATAACCAGCTCTAGTGTTGAATGGCTCACAATGTTTATAGACGACGGTGAGAGGGCACCTTACCTTGAAGTTACGTCACTAATGACTGCTGACAAGAAATGGGGTGTTTCCGTGAAGTATAAGGAACATCAGTAGTCAAGTCTTCTAAAAAATATAGCCATATAAATGACAATAAGCAAATTCGGCAATGAACGATGGCCCAGTTAGTTTCCGGGGACGTCTTCGGAAAATCTCCGTGCCAGTCGGACTTCGCCTTCCCTCCCCACTCACTTTCTAGTGCCGTACTTTATGTCCCTCAACTCCTCTATCAATCCTCTTTTCACTTTGTTTCTCATTAAGGATGCCAGTACGTGATATTTACAAAATGAACGACACACAAAAGAGCATCGTCGACAGGTTACAGCCCTACACGACGTAAGGCCTCCCTCCCAGTCCCAGCCTGGTAACCCCATGATCTGCTCACACGCTGTTTCCTTTTACTCTAGCTGCGATGTCAGTGACGCGCTCTGCAAGCTTAAAGTTACTAATGGCGGCTTCCTATCCGGACTCACTATGTGGTCACCTGTCCGACAGGAAGGGCAAACCAAGATCATCGGACCAGCATACACGGTGAAATACGTGCCTGTGGACTCCCCGGAGCCCAAGCATCCTTCGCACTACGTAATTCTTCACTGAGAAAAAAAAATAAGAGGATATCTCCCGCATCTAATTCAACATTTGGAGTATAGATCGATTCCGTCCCCGATGGCTCTGTTGTCTTCGTCTCATCGCCCAAGACGCCGAATGCTGTCTACGGTGGTCTGATGACGCACCGAGCCCGTGCCAGAGGCGCGGTAGGTGCTGTCATTGATGGGAGATTCCGTGATCTTCAGGAGCATCGTGACGTTCAGTTCCCGGTTAGGCAAAATTGGTTTCCCAACACCAAGTATGTTGCCGTAAACTACTCACTAATCACGTTCATAGATCTTCGCACGCGATGTTGGCACCTCTCCACCTTATGAAACTGTCAAAGTCGCCGCTGTAAATGTCGCAGTTGGACTGCAGACTCCCGGTCAGGATATTACCATCCATCCTGGAGACTACATCATTGCCGATCTCAACGGCGTTGTTGTCCTACCGTCTGATCTGGCAGATAAAGCGATTCCTCTTATGGCCAAACAAGTCGAGGCAGATACTAAAGTTATGGGAGCCTTAGACAACGGAATGGGCTTCACTGAGGCTGTTAAGACATTTCGATGAAGCTGAACACATCCTAAAAGTCGACATAGCACTGTCGTACAGGTCGTCATTCATCTTTACAATAGAAAATTCGCACGCATCAAATTTATGAGATTTCTTTTCATCAAGCTTGGTCTGAGTAGTTGCAGCTATACAAAGAGACTTCACTCCTTTCCATTTGCTGCCTTCTTAGCAATTCCTTCTCGGACGCCCGGCAGAATATATCTTCCATAGTCGACAACATCACTGAAGTTATCGTAGCCTCGAATAGAAATCAGCGAAGCCCCCAGGTCAACATAGTCGAGAATGGAGTCGATGACGGTTTGGTATGACCCAACCAGAGCGGTCGAAGCTCCGCTAGCGTTGGTCGCCGTCACGGTGGGATACCACAGAGCGCGATCTTGCACCTCGCCACGCTTGGCAATGTCCAGAAGTCGCTGCGAGCCCACATTCTGTGGCGTGGCGGTATTTCTGAATCTGTTAAGATCCTTGGGGGCGAGATCGTTCAGGGCGTCCAGAGTCTTGTGTGCCTTGGCCCATGCCAGGTCCTCTGTCTCGGCAACAATGGGGCGGAAGGTCACCCAGATTCTGGGCCGGTCAGTGCGGCCAGCCTTCTCTGCTTCAGCATAGATGCGGTCGATCTGCTGCTTCGTTTCTTTCAGTGGTTCACCCCAGAGACCGAAGATGTCGGCAAGTGAGCCGCCAATACGGTAAGCCTCGTCGGAGGAACCGCCAACAGACACTGGGATCGTTCCGTTGGTTGGTCTCACGGAGTTGCTGAAATCCTTGAACTGGAAGTATTTCCCGTCCCAGTCAAACGGTTCCTTGGACTCCCAAGCGCGGCGGAGGATCTTGATGTACTCCTCCAACCGTGCGTAGCGCTCATCCTTGGTCAAGAAGTCTCCCTCTCTTGCTTGTTCCACGTCGCTACCTCCGGCGATAAAATGGACAACGACACGACCCTTGCTCAGCTGGTCGAGAGTGGCCAGAGACTTGGCAGCAACTGTAGGGTACAGGGTGTTGGGGCGAACGGCGATGATCACTTTGAGGTTCTTGGTGACATTGGCGATTGTGGCACCAATCGTCCACGGGTCGAATCCAGAAGACCAGTATGGAACGAGGGTGTAGTTGAACTCATAGTCATCCAGAGATCGCGCATATCGAATCAGGAAGTCGGGGTCAACGCCAGCACCCGGGATAGGGTGAAGCTCACTCGACGCATTGGGGAATGCCGCACTGATGAATTCCGTGGGAGGTGCCATTTCATGGGAATTTTAGAAGGGTGAGGAATTAAGAATGATAGCTAAGAGGCTCATGATGGCTGCTCGCCCTCTCTTAAGCAGTGTCGGATTGAGGGTGAATGCAACTCTGTCCTGCTATTACGACATCTGGAGAAGAATGGCGTCTTCCTTGTTATCGTATGGCGATATCGGCCAGCGGCAATAAACCGTTAAACAGCCTCACAACAAAGTTCATGCCTCATGCAAATGGTTATTGATTGATAAGCAGTCAAAACGGCCGCGTTGAGTGTGTCCTTTCCTCCATCTAGCCCGGCGTCCATTGGCTTGCCCTACTGGCTGGGCTGGACCCTTTGGGGCAGATCGAACCATTCCTCCCCACTCAATAGCTGTTGCGTGATCACGACCCGGGCTCTTGGGGCAGATGCGATGAACAACTGCCCGAATGACACATTCCTTCGGCCTTGCGCCATAGGTATCGTGAATTTCACATTCCCATTTCTCTTCCCACCGAGAAATAGGTGGAAAAAAAGAGCCCTCGGCGAAAAAAGGACGGGAATGATGCTGTCTCGAGATCTTCAACAGTTGATCAAGAGAGGGGCAATCGGAGGAGCAGGAAATGACGCAAGAATTTACCCAGATCCCGCCATGTGGGATAATGATCCGTTTCCCCACGAACGACGCACGTGCCGTGAAACCAAATAGTCTTGTAACTAAAAGAGGAAGCATCAGTCAGAAGGGAAAAGATAAGAGAGAAGCTTGATGGGAGTGGGATGAAGATTGGCAGCCTATAGGGTAGGCCGGGAGTGAGGGGCATATACCCCGACATATAACCCAGCTGCCCCGATCATATATTGGTGGACTTCGGTATTGAGGCAGCGAATTAGCGACTGCTACGAGCATAAATAATACACCCAGCTTTCAAATATTGGATGAGGGCTGATCCGAGCTGCAGCCCTGTAATATCGCTTCCCAGGACCTTGCATGATGGTCCGTTCGATATAATGGTAATCGGTAATCATATCATTAATAGATCCAGTCTCAAGCGTACTCATATTATGCAAGTGTCCTTGAAGAAGAAGAAAAAAAACTTTGCGCGGATATGCGCTAATGAGTGGGTTGAAATCGAGATGCCTGCATCTCGATCTCGCAGCCTCTCCTCCCAGAATTCTCCCAAGACTTAGTGTTCTAGGCCGATATATGGCGTCGATCCCCTCGTAGACTAGTTAGTAGTTACCGACCATCACGATTCATTCGCGATAGTGGAAATTAGGTGATCCACTCGGCGACGCGCGTTATTCTTCATTCTTGAATAGTCCGCGTGCCTATCAAGGTTGATACATTGAACGACCACACGGTGATGACCTCAAAATCCTGACGAAATAGATTTCCATCAGGAAACAGACTATATACTTATTGAACACAAATTGATCAAATAGAGCCTGATATTGATTCTGTTGCTCTCCCTGTTGATGGCAAATTGATGCCCCGAAGGCTGAGCCAGAAGCTGCAGGTTTTGTGCCTGTTCTAAACTTCTAATGTGCTAGTGGCAGCACTCGGCATCTCGGCAGGCATCTAGATCATATCTTGGGAGCTATTGGCTGACTGCGTTAGAATGGACGCCCGAGGCATTTGCGTACCCCTTTATTTGTTTTTCTTTTTCCTTGCCACTGAGCCAAACAAAAAGCTCGGTGCCCCACGGAATCGTGTGCAAGCTTGGCACACGCAATCGTCGCTCGTTTTCAGTCGCTCATTCAGTCACTCATTTCACTCGCTTCTTCACGATGGTCTCCAAAAGTCTGCTGGCTCTGGTGTTGAGCGCTATTTCCTTGACTGGCGTGGAAGCCAGGGCCTGTATCAAGCGCAGCTCCAGCCTTTCTCTCACGGATCTGCCTTCACCAACGTCTTCCATCCTGAGTACTCCAACTCCTATCGTCTCTCTTTCAACTCCGGCATCCAACGACATTGTCTCAACCCCGTCAACTGAAGCCTCCCCGATTTCCGAGACTCCCTCTTCGACAATAGTGGCAACAACCCCTTCCACTGATCTCTCTGATGTCCCCGCGACTCCAATTATCACTCCCTCCACGGATGCCTCGTCCACCACGCCGGTTATCACGCCCTCTACCGACCTTCCGGTAACCACTCCTGCAATCACTTCTTCCACTATCGCCTCGTCTACTACCCCAGAAGTAGCCTCTTATACCCCGGAAGTAACTTCTTCTACCGCCGTTTCATCTACTATTCCCTCGACCACTCTTATGACCTCGACTACATCGGCCGCTCCTGTGTGCACTCCGAGCAACCTGGTCTCAAACCCTAGCTTCGAGCAAGGCATCAACCCCTGGATCAACTTCCAAGGTGGACTGGCTTCCTCGAGCGGAGCCGTGACAGCCAAGGACGGAAACTCCTACTTGTAAGTTAACCAACCCCAGCCAAACAAATACTCCCCTCTGCCCACCGTGTATTTGGTGACTAACGTCTTGGACACCTAGCATCGCCGCCCTCACTTCCTCCAACAACTTCATTTCCGTCCGCCAGACACTGCAGATGGAAATAGGGCAAACATACGATGTCAAGGCGTACTATGCCCTGGGAGCGCACCAGAACTTTGGCTCGGGTTCCTGCCAGCTTCAGCTCACAATGGGCGGCGACCTCCAGGGGGCTGTGCTTACTTTGACGCCGGCGACTGTCGGACAGTGGAATCTCTTCGAAAGAACCTACGTCGCAACGGACACCGAGGTTGTCATTCGATATGTCTTTACCTGCTCCGGTGTCACGAGTGTTGATGGTCTGCTGGACCTGATCACAGTTCCTTTGGCTTGCCCCACGACTCCTGCCGCGACTACCTCAATTGTTACCGTCCCTTAAATCATGGTCAGAGACTGCAACTTTGTATTCTAAGCTGAAGTAGGAGAGAAACGGGATTGTGCTCCAAGTGTCAAGGTGTAATAATATTATTTTGCAACACGCAGAAATCGATAAATATTACAAAACTCCATGATGATTCCTCCCTAGGGTATCGTGCATCAGCCAGTTTGTTGGAAATGAGGCGTCATCTCGTCCTGGAGCGCCTACCAAGGTCTGTTTCTTCCCGGGTATCGCCAACATCTGTCTGTCATGAGCTATTATCACTATCCAACTCTGATAGGATGCTCTTTGGGCATAGAAGCCTCGACAAACTCTCCCCGATCCGATAGTTCACCACTCCTCCCTCTTCATAAGTGAGACTCATCCCCTTATCCGGCAGCATCACGTATTCAGGCACTGGCCCCAGCCCCTTCTTGACCCACTCCCACCCATCTTCACTCGTACGCCTCTGCGCGACGTATTTCTTCAATGCCGCTGGGTCATATTCCAATTTTCGCCGGCGGATTCGAACGGTAGGATGAAAGTATTCGTTGGTTTCGCCATTTGTCTGGTCGCCCGGGTCCTTTGGGTAGGACCCTGGCGTCCGAACCTGCCTCCCAAGAAGCCACCAAAGACCGCCTTGTAAGCCCGCGAAGTTGTTGGCAATAGGCCCACAGCCCCAGCCGTCGGGAATTGTAATCTTCTCTAGGGATTTAGTGTGGTCCTCAATGATAACATTTATACTGTCGTCTTCGAACGTAAGCATGCCAGCTAGATTGTCCACCTAGATTAGCAGGAGGCCAGAAGTCAGCAATGGTTTGAAAACAGATATCATGAGCGTGGGAAAATCACCATCCATGCAAAAGAATTGTAGCCCATTTCAGAGCCGGCAGAAGCAGGTGAACCGGTTTCCATGCCGGCGACGTCCCCATGAATCCCAGGAAACCAACACTGCTGTAGGTCTTTGGTCGGCCCATCATTAGTCCTATGCCAGAGAGTGGGAGGGAAGGTTAAACGTCGTTCGTCGAGGGCAAGAGCCTGGAATGCATATTCTACATCTGATAGGGTGGTTGTTTAGCATATATTAACTTGAACTTGGAGAAGTTTCCGGGTTATACCCACTTGTCGATAGCTTGGTATCATGAAACGCATATTGTGAGTTGATCCGAAGACCAATCTTTGTCGCCCATTTCACGACGGGCCATTCTGGGATTCCCTAGCAGGATGGAAATTGAGCAAATCGAATTGTCGTCGGAGCAGCTCGAAACACGTACCAGAGCTCCAACAGTGTCCCATACACCCACTACCTTGACCTTAACATTAGTGAGGGCTAGCTCATCCTTGTTATCCAGATACCACTTGGACTCTCTGAAAGGTTGGCCGCCGGTGTTGGCGCGGTACGCTTCCCACATCTCCGCAAAACGAGACATATTCACTGCCGAGAGGACACCGATTTCGCAGACTAGAGCGGCAACAGAGCGCACAGTGAAGGCGCCGCGTGACCAGCCAAAGAAGAATAGTTCATCCCCAGCCTCGTAATTGTTGGAGATGAAATCGTATATTTGGCATACGTCGACATCCAACCCCCAGCCGAAGGTCCCTAGATTGGTAAGCCCAAATGATATGAGGATCGGCCATGGCGAACATTTGAGGGCAAGAGTTGAGGAAACTCACCGTAAAGGAGCTTTTGAAAAGGGAGATCCCCGCTCCCAAGGCCGGAATGGTACGAAACAATTTGCTTGACAAGATTGCCTTGGTCATCGAGCCCGTTATTCGAGATTGCACGAGCGAGTTTAGCAACATTTGAAGGGAGAGTCTTGCTGCCAATATCGGATGCTTGCCACGTCCCATCCGCGCAAAGGATAATGCGCTTGTGGTTCGCCACCTTCCGCGTATTTTCAGCCATCGTCGCGCAAAGAAAGAGCTGAATTTATTCTCCTTTAAGGAGCGAGAAAGTGACAAGTAGCCATCTTTATAGCAATCGACTTGTCAGAGTAGGATTAATAGGATCTTTTGATCTAAGCTGACCGGATGGTCACATGTCGGTTACTCCAAATCTGACGAACCTTTGTCCCAAAGCTGAAAACGAATGCTACTAAACTCGGTCATGAGGCTGCCTCCCCGCGTGTAAGCTGAGACAGAGGCGTGTGCGCGTGGGCACATCAGGTGGTATTGGGATCTCGGCACCAATCAGATCTCGATCAGCGCCTCGCCTTTCGTCCCAGCATCTCGCCGCGGACTGTCCCGTTACGAGGGAGCAAATTGCCCGGCTGTCAGAACGAGATCCTGCGGGGCAAGGCAGACGACTTTTGCCAATGTGTGACATCACCAATCTTTGCGACTCCGGACGACGCCACCCCCTGATAGCCAGAGCTGAGATGTCTCACATGCTAGGTCCTTTAAGACCACCCGACACTCGATTTCTCTCCTTATTTTCGCAAATTTTGGCTTGGACATAGTAGAAAGTATCTCCAACAATTATGTCGCCACCGAAAATATGTAAATAAGGGGAAATACTATGAGAAGAGTAAGAGCGCAGCCATAAGATTAGGGGAGACTGATCCAGCCTCTAAATCACGTGCAGTTCATTTAGCCGGATATTGCCAATATACAGCCCTACGAATCACCAGATGTGCTCAGACAGCAATAGAAGTCTCGTACATCATCCATTAATGTGTCGCGTGGCCCATCCCTAAGTCCTACTCCCAGGGGTAGATTTCCCCGCAATCAGACAATCGCTCGTTCAGGTTTCTAATTTTGATAATAGCCCATCAAATCCATCCAATCGGGATATAACTCAGCTGCAGCAGGCAAGATTCAATCGTTGGCATATCGATACTTGGCCCAAAATGGCGATAGTTATTGAACAAAACATTGTCGGATAGCTCTTTGCTCATTCAAAGATATACTGCCATTTTCGCCTGTGTGGCTGGTTGTAGTCGTATCGCCATCTAAGAAGGTTACTACCATTATCCGCCTGTTGGTCCGTTGATCATATATCAATGAAACCAGGCCTTTGATTTCACAACGAGTTGATAGAAATCATTAAAATAAGATATAAGAAAACTAGCGGGCTTCTTCTTCGCTATAGATCAACTCTCAACCGTACATCATTGGCTACAATACAGTAAAACTAAGTCCAAACTTGATTAATTCTAACCGCTGTATTGCGTGGCCGCAAAGTAAGCAATACCAAGTGCCCCAATGCCAAACACATATGGCGCCAAAGTCAAAGCCGCACTGGACATATCTCGCTTGACCTTTTCCGCTATCTTCGCTTTCAGAGCTGCAGCCTCATTGACCCTTGGGAATTCCACGTCCGGTACCGGTCTACCGAGGAATTCACACAGCGGCTCCCACCCCTCGCCCATACGATAGATCAACAGCTGATCGGCCGGAACACAGTCCTGGATTTCGCGATGATGCCTATCATATGCCTCCCTTGCCTTGCTGCGTGCTTCATCAACGTTCTTGGCCTCGAACAACCCGAGCATCATCTTCCGCGAGGCTGGCCCAGCACGAGAGCCAAGAATAGGCTCAATAACATTGACGGAGAAGTTGGCAGCCGGACTCCAAAGCTGCTGCAGGACATTCTCATCCATACTCTTGAACCACTTGTCGAAGTCCCGGATTGTCAGGACCACCTTGGCATCTGGGTAAGCTTTGATTAGATGAGTCCCGAAAACAGAGGCCATGTCCGTGGTGGCCTCGTATGGCGCGTAGAGCTCGTTCCACTCCTCTTGAGTGAAACCCTAGCCCGTGTAGCCAGGGAGGACGAGAAACGTGGCATCGGCAGCGCGGTCAAAGACCTTCCAGTCTTCCGGCGAGTCGATTGCTTTCACGCCGTGATACACTCCGTCGTAGCCGAGAATCTCCAGTGCTTCGGCCAGGGAAGCGGATCCGGTCCGGGGAAGACCCATTGCGAGGACCTTCATCTCCCGCTGGGGTCGGCCATTAGTTTACGATTTCTCCATGATTCACGGCACGAAAAAACGGCTCAACAAAGCAATTTATTATCAACAGTAAGCAATTCAGGAGGGGGAAACACGCTAGAAAACTCTTCTCGTTATCATCTGTTAAATCTTGGTTAGCTAGGGAAAATAGTGGGAGCCCCGATGCCCTGCCCGAAACCTTGTAGATTCTCGGTCCGGTACAATTTGTGAAAGACTCTTGACTTCTTTAGTCCCTTCACAATCCGGCGTTTAAGCAGGCTATTCATTTTTGGCCAAGGTGATGAAAGCCGAGCGTACCGCCCACCTAACGGTCCTTGATCATCTCTTAAACATGAGCAGAGATTGGTTATCACCTTGTCAAAACTCTCACTCTTCAATCTCCGACAACCAAAAATATTTGCCAGGAGCGAAATATCTCCTTTATCCGTGCCGCGCGGTGCCATGGGTATCAGATTTCTCCACCCCGCGCGGCTATGAAGTCTGTTTGGAATGCATCTACAAAGCTCCGCAGTCGTTAAATTCCAGACCCATCAACTTATTTAGTACCTGACTAGCGTCGGACGGCTAATCCGGCTCAAGTTGGATTACTTACAGTGCCAATAAGGAAACCGACATTGAAATCCTAGTTTGCTTCATCGGTCATGTGGATATATCTTTCTTGACCAGCTGACCTATTGACGAGAAATGAGCCCCGTGAGTATGGCGTCGACTTAAAGGGGACGAACGGGGACTTTCTGTGCTAGGTAACTGCTTTGTAGAGTATAGTGGTTTGAGAGACTCAAGAACTCCGTATTTGGAAGTACAAATATATGGCATTGTTTTACGTGGAGTGGTATATCGGGGTTAACTGACCTACAAACCTTGGTGATATTGGATATATATTCAGCTACTCTACTAATCATTGTGTTGAGTTGCCGGGCTCTGGCAGCTTCCATTGCTGTTAAACTTTATTCTCTTTTCTCTTACGTATTCAGCTACTCTACAAGAGATCTAGTTATGTGAAGCGGCCACTTAGATCAATAGCTGGACAAACTTCTGGCTTACCTCCAGATTCCTTTGCATCTTCTCTGACTGGATCACAGACGTAGCAGGATACTTACCATTGGAGTCCGCACATTCTGGGTTCGCGCCATGAGCGAGTATGACCTTGGCCAAGCCAACTGCACCATGATGAGCTGCCCAGTGAAGAAGGGGCAGGTCAGGACTCACCACTGCAGCGTCAGAGGCAAACATGTCCAGGGTCTGCTTGGTGCGCCATCCCCAAGCATAAGCATGAACATCCTTATCCTTCAAGGTCGCGACAGAAGCCAACATCGGAGCACGAGCCTCGATATCCGCGCCACGGGAAACAAGCTCCTCGGCGAGGGCTGCTGTAACACCGGCCTCATCTCCGTCGAGATACATCGCGAGGCAGTGTAGTGGAGTGTACCCCTCGGCTGTCGAGACGAGCGCATTGGCCCCGTGGCCGAGCAGAACCCGAGCCGCGCGGACGGCTAGCCATGATGCCTTAAGCTTTGCTCCGAAGACATGACCTTCTTTGGCCGGAGCGAGTGAGCATAGCAAAGGTGTCCAACCATTGGCACTCACCTGATTGACATCGGATCCGTGCGAGATCAGATACTCCATTATGTCTGTCTTGCCGCCGGCAGCAGCCCAATGGAGCAAGGTTTCCCCATGACTATTTACCAATGTTGATACCGATTCCCTCTCGCTTGGATCCATTGCGGAGAGGTAAAGGAGGAAAACGGAGAGGTTGGAGCCATAGGCGGCATTATGGAGTGGGGTGTTACCTTCATTGTCACGGCAGCTAACTGAGGCACCTTTTTCAATGAGAAGCCGGATACCTGTATCATTCAGACCAGATGAAGGGGATTGCGATTTGACGTAGACTGGCGCGCCAAGATGATGGAGGGCCGTCTTCCCATCCTCCTCCTGGATGTTGGGGTCTGCACCTGTCTCCAGTAACGCGCTGAGGCCGCCGACGAGGTCACTCCACCTACATGCAAACAAAACGGGGGCAGTCTGGAACACTGCCCTCTCCATCCTCGCGTTTGGGTCTGCTCCGGCCTTGACGAGGGCTTTGATGAGCCGCTGCTGGCTGAGGAAATCGGTGCCATCGTACTGGACCCCACCACGCTCATCGTCGGCGAGCATGACTTTGAAGTCTACGGCGACATGCAAGGCCTTTAGGATGACGTCCGGAGGGAAAACAACTCTCTCGAGAAGCAGATCGACGACGTTGGCGCGCCATTTGTGCGCAGCGGCGAACAGAGCGCCCTGCTTCGTTGTCTGCGGCCAGTCGTCCCATAGATTTAGAAGCAGGTCCACGATATGAGTCTGGCCGTATGTGGCTGCAACGCCGAGGCAAGTATCCTCAGAATGTCTCTCGGCGGCGCGGATTTCCACAGGCACACTCTGCCACAGCCTCTCCACGATGGCCGAGGTCCCGCGCCGGACAGCCATGGCCAGAGGTGTCATGCCGTTCTCGGGGTGGGGAACGAAGAGAGGGTTGGCACCGGCTTCGAGAAGCAAATCTACGGCTGGTAGACTGTCGCATAGAATGGCTACGTGGAGCGGCGTGCCCCAGTTGTGGTGTTCATGGTTGACCTCGTCAACGGTGGCCAAGCCGAGGATCCGTTTCAGCTCGGCCACATTGTCGTCGCGAATGCTCGCGTGCATGGCCTCTTGCGGCCCGTCGAAGTCTTCCCGCATTCGTAACTGCGCCTGATTGCCCATGATGGAGGTGGTGATGATGAAGCTGAGGGTCGATGCTGTTGCGGTGAGGTGTTTGCAGGGAGGAAATGTCCATGGCCGGTGCGGGGCGGAACATCCACCCGTATGTCAGATGTCAGCCCATGTCAGCCAATGGCACCCTCTATTCGTACGAAGTCTACTCCGTGACTGAAGTGAAGCACTGCACAATGGTCTTTACTAAATCATTCGGTTTAGCTCTCTTAACCACATAGCAGGATTCAATTATCCAAGTGGCTGTCAGAAAAACAGGGACTGCAAAGTCGCCTCGACAGAATTATTGTGGCTGTCAGGAAGGGCGGGAATGAGAAAACGATGCCCGATGCTGCGCAAGGTATCTAACAATGCTGTTACGCCCAAAAACGCTGTAAGCTACTACAACATTGAATCCAGATGGCACTGATTCCATAATCGACCTTTACGAGTGAGAGGTGATGGAAAATAGCATGTTGAGCAAGTGCAACGAGATTCTGGGTTGCAGCGCAAGAACCCGAACATGATCATATCGGACAAGCACGGGGAATTGTCAGGGTCATTTTAATTCAGTTCTACTTAAAGACACTAATTGCCATTCCCAGAGCCGAGTTCCTAACGTTTGGGGCTGAGCGTTGCAGATCTCGACTTGAAGTGGGTTGAGCAATGGGAGCGTAGTGCGGGACTTGTTTAGATCGATGCTGGATGGTCTGGAGACGGATAATTTGAAACAACAGCAAATAATTGACAATCTCAGCTACAAGCTATTGAAGTTGTGTCTGACTTCCAGAAGGTATCTCAACTCCTCTGAAGTCTATGATTCTCAGATTTGGCTGACCGGAAAAGAAAGCTGTCGCACCGAGTGGAATCTGGTCGTTCTCAATGCACAACTCTTGCTGAGGTCCCTTAAAGATGGATATCACACCGAAACCTTCTTCCCGGGTCCACAGCGGGAAGGAACCAGTGGACTTTTCTCTACCCTCTGCCCGGCCTGCAAGAGGCTTCTTACAAGCAGGGCTTAGAAATGACTAAAGATAAAAAGGCTTCTGATTAGTGATTTATAAAGGGCAATAAAGAAGAAAGGAAAGACATTACGCACAGTGCTATCAAATGTGACTCCCATACCGGTTGCCGAGACAGTTATGCCGGCACTTGAAAGCATTTGGTTAGGGCGATATTTAGACACAACCACCAGAATGTCCTCATCGTGCTCATTAACAACTCGCACATAAGGTGGGATGCCCATGGCGGTGCGGATGAGGGCGCCAATGGGACCCTATACTGTTAGTCAAGTTGTTAATATTGGAACAAGTGGCTGACTGCTACTTACGCGCCCCTGTTTCTCAAAAGTCTGACCATCAACAATCTTCTCAGGCGAGGAAAGCTCCTCAGCTGAAAACTTTTGCTGTCTAAATCTAGAAAGGATACTAGAAGGTCTGAGGCATCTTCGGTAGCCAGCGGCATGAGTGTGTAGGAGATGTTAGCCGTTGAATAGCGCGTCGTTCGAGTAGAACGATCTCGGCCGATATTTCGCTTCGCCCCTGTTGCAAAACGAAAGGCGAGTTACTCAAGTGAGGATGAGCCGATGTCTCCTCGGATATCGCTAGAGCTCCTCAGGTGCCTGAGATCAACTGCGGAGTCCGTCACGATGAAGACTAGGTGCTCATCGATGGGGCGCACCCTGGGGCAGGGTTGGAATTAGTATAACTAAAACTAAAACTAATACTAATTTAGCTAGTTTTAGTTTAGTTTTATAGGTAACTAGTACTAATCTAATTAGTTTTTAATAAAACTAAGTTTTAGCTTTTAGTTTTATAAGTAACTAATACTAAACTAAAACTAGTTAGTTTTTTCTTAGTATTATTTTTAGTAAAAATAATAGTTTTTAGTTTTTCTTTAGTTTTTTTATTAATAGAAATTATAAGAAATATTTAATATATTAAAATTTTATAAAATATAATAAAAAATCTAGATTATAAAAGTTTAAAGTAGATCTTTAAAGAGCTAAAATTAAGCTTAATAACTAGGATTTAAAGAAAAATAAAATATATAAGTTTTAATTTTCTACTTCTCTTAGAGATATCTCTAGAACTAAGGGTTTTTTCTTAGTAATAAAAATACTTAAAAAATCTAGAAAAAAATATATAATATAGCTAATAATTAGTACTATATAGTATAAAAGACCTACTTTTTATATATTACTTAATTCTTATAATAAAAAGGAGTATTTATTAATAGTTTTAAAGGGGAAAAGAATATAAGATCTAATAATTATAATATCTTATTTTTTTAATTTACTATTTCTCTTAAAGATATTTCTAGAACTTAGGGTTTTTTCTTAATAATAAAAATACTTAAAAAATCTAGAAAAAATATATAATATAGTTTATAAGTAATACTATATAGTATAAAAGATCTACTTTCTATATATTACTTAGTTCTTATAATAAAAAGGAGTATTTATTAATAATTTTAAGAGGGAAAAGAATATAAGATTTAATAAGTATAATACTTTATTTCTTTTTAATTTAATTAATAAAATAATAATAATAATAAAGTTATATATTATTATAATTAGTAAAAAAAGCTCTATTTTATAATATATAGAAAAAAATTAAATTAATTTATATATTTAGTTTTAGTTAAAATCTTCTTTTAAAAAATCTACTTTTAAATCCTCTAGCTCTTTATATATCTAGCTTTTTAATAATATAAGCTTTTTAATTATTCTAGGAATTAAATTATTCTTAGTTTTAGTAATAATATTATTCTTAATAGAAAAACTTCCTTCTATAGAGCCTAAAGTAGCTAGAATAACTAGATATCTTCTAGCTAAAATAGCTAATATAAGATATTTAATTTATTAAACTTTCTAATAAGCTAATATATTAATCTATAATATATTAATTAATAAATTATAAATAATAATAAAAATTAATAAAAATATACTTACTTCTCTAAGTAAAGCTTTTTCTTTTAAATAAGAAATAAATTCCTCTTTAAAAGAATCTTTAATTATAAATAAATTAGAATTACTATCTTCTTCTTCTAAAAAAGTAGTAATAACTTTAATAAAGCTTATATCTTTAGCTTAATTTTTAATTTTAATTAATAATTAGTAAAATATATATATAAAGAATATATTAAAAACTTACTTATAATAATCCTCTTTTAAAAGAGATATAATATCTTCTTTAATAAAGTATAATAATTAGTTAACTTATATTAAATAGGGTCTAAGGTAGGTTAAGGTTAAACTAGTTAGAGTAGTATTTTAAGTAGTATAATTAAATTATCTAGATACTATATAAGTTACTACTAATATATAAGTATTAAGGAGCTAATTTTAATAAAAGTAATAGTAATAGTATTAATAACTATCTAGAAGAGTATTTCTACTTAAGGAATAAATATATATTTATATTATATATAAAGTACTAAGAGTATATTACTCCTAATTAATTTATTAATCTTATAATAAGAGTATAATACTTTTATTACTTTAATCCTAAAGTAGGTCTATATATAATTATATAATCTATTTAAGAGGCCTTTATTTATAATATAATATCCTCTTTTTATTAATCTTATTTTTAAAATTATATATTTAGTTAGTAAGCTTTCTTTTCCTTCCTTTTTATATATTATAATTATATTATAATATTTACTATATCTAACTATATTTAGAAATCTTTATACTTAAAGATTTATAAATAGGTTCTTCTCTTTATTATTATTTAAATATTTAGTCTTTTTATTAATATACTTTATACTTTTTATTTTAAAGTATAAAAAAGTATATTATTTCTTCTAAGGGGAAATCCTCTAGATATAGTAAGTATATATATTTTAATTACTATTATAATAATATATTAATAACTTTAAACTATAAGTTTTATTCCTTATAATTTTATTCCTTATTTTTAATTTATTTTTAGTTAAAAGGCTAATAGCTTAATAAAGGAAGTTAATAAAGAAGGAGTTAAATATAAATAGAAAGATTCTCCTTCTTTATAAATAAATAACTTAGCTCTAAAGTAACCTTTTTATAGCCTTTAAATATATTTAGTAAATTTATAAAATTTAAGGTAAGATTAAGAGTAAGGTATATTAAGAGATTTAATAAATCTTTAAGAATTAAATTAAA